TTTTGTTTATCATATTCATTGATCACAGCCGAAGAGCTTTGAAATCAGCAAATATGCCCATTATAATGTTTTATACCCTATGCTTAGGTAATAAATTCAATGAGAAATGAATCATGGCATTTCAGAGCTGCACACAATGTTCTTTAATGAAGCCCATTGAAGTCCTTAATTACAAAGCTGTTGGTAAAGAATGAACAGTTTGGAGGGAAGGAAGCTTTCTGATGGCGCTTTTGCTTTACAGTTTTGAGATAACGGCCAAGATTAGATAGGAGCACCTCTGTACTGAGTATGCAAATTTCCAGTCATTTTTTTTTTCCTGGGAGCAAAGTTACACAGTCACTAATTTTCACAGGAGAAGGGTCACACACTGAATGGTGGAAAGCAATTTCTGAAACATATTTGACTCAAACGCAGACAGAAAAGGGAATCAAATGCAAGTATGCCTTATGTTAGAGTTGCCAAAAGTGGTAGCCCAATAGCTGCAGCTCTCATTACATCCCACCCCCACTGCCCCCACTGACAGCAGGTCCAGACCTATGTTCCCCCCAGCAGTAACTCTTATGTCTCTTCGGTAGCTGGCTCGGACCTATGGTCCCTCCAGTACCAGTCCCAGCCCTACGGTCTCTCTGGTCACGGCTCCCACACCTCCTCTCCTACTTGCCAGATAGTCCAGCTTGAAGTTTGCTAGTGAGTGAAGCCTACATACATGCACGGGTGGTGGAAGCACTCTCACCAGATGATGGCCTCACACCTATGGGACCTTGTGTTCTGTGGTCCCTTCTCCCATTGCTGGCACTGGGACCTCTCACACACGTCTCTCCAGGTGCTGGCACCTCAAACCTGGAGTCCCCATAACCCCATGGCTCCTTCTCTACTTGCTGGCACTTTAGACCCCAACACACACACCAGAGAGCACCCTCACCCTGGAAAACAGAAGTAGAGTTTAGTAAGAAGACAGGACAGACCGTGGTGATCAAGCATGGGGCCTGACTGGACAAGCATACTGACCAGCCTGCTGTTCACACCCAACTGACCCCATTTATCCCCTTTTTCCCTCTGTTATCCTACGTTTGTTCCTCTCCAAACCACTTTGATCCTTCCCTTTTCCTACCTTTGGTCCTTCCCCTAAACATCCCATAATAAATCTCACACATTCCCACAGTCTCCTGGAAAACATCCCATAATACGCTTTACACAATCCCCAAATGCTCTTCCCCTCCATCCTGTAATGAGTCCCGTACCAGCTTAGGCAACAACAGCCCTGCAGACTGTGAGGCAGTTGGGGAGAGCCGCTGGTGGCCCACCTGGAGGCCTGGACCATGAGCTGGGCCCCCTCCTCTAAGTGCCAGGGCAATCGGGTCGGGGTCCCCTCTGCGCCCATCAGTTTGTCGGGGTTCGTTGCTGCTCCGTGAGCACCTGTGTTTTCATTAATTAGCCCTTAATCACACGACCTCACAGCTTAAAACCCAAAAAGCATTTGATCTCCTCCCCAAATCCTGAGGCATCACGAAAGCCAACTTGCAAAGAGCAAAGCAGGAACTGCCCAGATGAATCACTGAACTGGGGTGATTTCTGTATGCAGATTAATCAGTCAATCAAGTTTCAGAGTCGGGGTAATTCACAGAATCTCAGCATATGCATCCGGTTGTGCCAGAATATTTTTAAAGCCATGACCAGTCAGGTCCTGATTGGCTTAGGCTCATTTTAAAGGTTTTAAATATGCTTTATTTGAACTGTACTCAAGAAAGCTGCAAAACATCTACATATTCTATTGATAATGGAGGAAATCATTGTCCTCTTGAACTGCAAACCCCTATCAATTAGTATAAAGGAAGGACAAGCACAACAGGGAAATCTGGGGCGGGGAGGAGAAACCACAATCTGTACATCTGAATCATATTTGCAAGCAGTGATCATTAAATCCAAACGCTTTTGTAATTATTCTCTTGACCATGAGTTCTTACCAGAAAACCCAGAAACACAGGCTGGACTGGTTATTTATAACAGGGGGACTCTAAAGAGAGGAAATAGCTGAATACCAGAGTGGCTCCCATCGCGAGACCACACGCTGATTCACTCCAGTCTTCTGTTCAGCAAGAGACAGTATTTAGTTCTGCTTCCTGGGAGAAAACAGACTTTAACTGAAAACTCATCCAAGTTTTTGGCTAAAGCCCAGTATGATATATTTCTTTCCAGAAGTGGTAGATTATAGAAAAGACAGAAAGGCAACTTCTGATCAGACATTACATCTGTCTTTCTCTGGCCCTTGCCAAATCTGCCCTGGCAAAAGTTAACTTGGCACTTCTTAGAAGAGGTGGGGCGAGTGCTGCCTTGGCCGCTGCTCCTTATCCCACTAAATTATATTCCACAATCGAACTCGAAGGATTTTTCACATTTCTTCTCTCTTTTCATTTTTTTTAAATAAAAGAACACATAGCCAATTTTTATATCATGAGCCTTATTACCTGTAGTATTGCTGCACGTGCCTGTAACTTCGTCGGATTGTTCAGATAACTGTTTTTTGTAGGCAGAATTGTTTGCAAATAAGGCTTTAAAAAGTATTAATGAAGTAACATCTTTCAGTCATGTGAGAATGAATATAAATCAGTATGAAGTCCTTGAAAAAAACCCCTGACGTTCATGCCAAGGGCAGAGTTAAGGTTATTGGGGTGCTCGTCAGTGATCATCTTTCTGCTTGCAGCACCTAGGTTTCTAGGAGATGGTATAACTCCAAGAAATCCAGAAAATATGGGCTCCCTAGCTGTAAAAACCTCTTCATTTTTGCCAGTGTAACAATAGGTCTTAATCCAGACTGTCTTTATCTACCAATCAGTCTGTGGAGCAGAAATAATGTGACAGAAAGGATAGGCCTTGATGAAGGCACTCCAGTGTCACCAAGCATCTTCTGTCAGGTAAAAACTTCACCACAGGAAAAGCTGAGAGGGATAAATCCTGGAACAGATGCATAAATGAGCAATAGCTGAGCCATATGAAATATAATAAAACACAGACTCGCAGGAATTAGAGATGGAAAAGACCTATTAGGTCATCTAGTCCTAGCTTCTGCCAATTCAGAATTGGCCCCTAGAGTGCTGTGCTGAACTTTAAGAAAAAAAAAAGGCTGCCAAAAGCTTTGTCAAGCCTGTTACACTTGCTCCAGAAGAGAGGAATGAAAAACCCCAAACCTAATAAACAGGCTTCAAGTCAGGGAGGACTGACAGTGCCAGGAAAACCTGATTGTATCCCCATCTCCTTACCAAGCCTCGGTGAAGAGCAAAGGGGTGCCTTTCCAAAGTCTGGAGTGCTTTCATGCTGTATGACTGCCGCAGCTAAAACCAGGCTAATCAGAACTGAAAATCAGAGGCAGGCTTTGCCCTTGGGCACGCTATGGGAATTTGGGTTCCTTTGGCACCTATATAGGGAATATTTATTAAGACTTAAGCTATTTGGAAATGCCAAGTGAAGGCGTGTTCCTTCTAGATTGATGCCTCCAACCTATGTTAATCTAGCCATGAAATAGTCTCTATAGTCCCCATGACAGGGTATTTGCTTACCAGGGTGTTTTAGCCCTCAGCCTCTCCACACCTACACCGATTTGCATCAGAGTTGCCTCCTCCGGTTTGTACAAGGCTGTCAGAGCTAGAAGGGCACGCTGCATCTCACCACCTTCAGTATGAGCTGGGAAATGAGCTGGAAAGGGGGACCACCGAGTGTCGGGGGAGTGTGGACTAGCTAGCATTGGGACGGAGAATCCTGCATGTCCTGTGAAGAAGGCACCTGCCACCAACCACCACCGCGCACCATGCAAATAACTGCGCATCTTAGGGAACTGCCTAGAAATACAGTAATGTGTGTTTTCGTCATAGGAATGGAGTCCTAAAGGAGATCAGGAAGGCCTTTGGCAGTGGAGACAAGGGAAAAGAGACAGCAGTTGAGAAGAATCTGGGGAGGACAGTGTGAGACAGCTGTCTGAGGGTAATGGGGTGAAGCTGATGGCCAGGAGATGAAAGTGGCAGCTAAAAAAAAACCACGGGAAGCCACTTCTGGAAGTAAAAGTGACTGTTCACACACGGCACTCTCAATTCGTTTATCTACAAGCACAAGCTTCAGACCCAAGTAGCTGAGATTGCTGGAGAAGTTCCTGAGTGTTCCCATCTCCCACCAAGGGCAGCAGGAGCAGATGGGACTCATAAGCAACACTAAAGGCATGGAAGAGCCTGGACACCAGCGGGGGAACCAGGTCAGCTTGATGCAAAAAGAGAAAAGTCATCTGAAAAACAGGAAAGCATTTCTTTTTCTGAAGGAAGCAACTCATAAATGCTTTTCCAATTTTGTGGGAGCAAGGTTGGTTTTATAATCCCAGCAAGTCACGAGTTTGTTTTTTTTAAAGTTTTCTAGTCTAACATGCTCAGAAAGTGAGACTTAAAATTTACCCTTGTGCAAACAATCCATACTGTGTCTTATACACCATTCATGTCCCACTTACAAGGCTTAACCATGTCTGGGCGCTTGAGCTGCCATCTAAACACCCACAGAAAACATCAAATGTTTGACCATTGGTGATAGATGTATAACATTACAGAAATGTACTGGGAGACTACGTTCCCTCCACATTGTACAAACCTGGTCTACCATATCTATGATGCATTTGTCAAGCTTGCAAACACAGGTGAGAGTTTTCCATGCCATACTTAGTAAACATGTTGTATGATTTTGTATCATGATACTGGATTTAGATGTGCTGACAGAGAGGGAAACGCCACTTTCAAAGCCATTCCCGTGTTTTCTACCCAAGCTTACTACACTGCAGCTCAAATCCCACTTAACTTTGCTCCCAGCAAAGGAAGAACAAGGGGTATGTTAATGCATTCCTCAAGGCACTGCAAGTCAAGCATCTTTCGTAAGTAACTTGCTTTTTTCTACAGCTTTTTTACTGTAACAGCTATTTAAATCTTCACCAGGGTGAATGACGTACAGGAAGAGGCCCTTTCTGCACTCACCGTGGTTTGAGTGTCTCACGCAGTCCCGCAGCACGGCGCTGAACTGCCTCTGAGCTTCTGGCTCCGGAAAGCAATAGTAGCTGTGTCGGGCGAAGGGCTGCCACAGGTAAACTGGGAACTCCCTTGGCAGCTGAACGAAGGCTTGAGCGACCTCCTTCTCACTCGTCCCTACACAAAACACACATCTCCGTTTGAGATCTGCAGATGTCTTGCGGGGGTTTGGCTCTTTTCCTCTGCTATGACAGAGAGAACAGACCTTTGCTAGCAGGGAAACACGAGACATGAAAAAACCAAGTCTCCTTCCTGATCCAAGTGATTGGGCACAGAGGGCAGGGGGATGCAGCTGGGATGGGCAAGCTCAGCAGGTGCCAACCACCTCTCTACGTTATACCATAGCAACTTGATGTCCTCTTTTTTTGTATTCAAGGTGGCCATAAACTACACATTTTTGGTAAAATTAAAAGAAAACTATTTCATTGGATTGTAGCTGCTAGGGAAAAGGTTTTCATGGCAATTAAGTAAGTTAGTGGGCAGCTCTCGTCTCTTCCACATAGACACCATATAGGAGCACATAGTCTTCCATGTAGAAACGAACTGCATTAAACCATGTAGGAACAGCAGCAGTTTCTCTGTCTCCAGGGTTTCCAAACACAACTGCAAAAGGGCCTTATGAACTGTCACTTGAAGGTGAAGCAAAGAGAGGATTAAATATCTCCAGTTTCCATCTGCCCTGAACCACTGTGCACAGGGGATGCTGTACAACACCACTTAGGGATGACCAAACCCAATCTTGTCTCAATGCCATGCATCAAGAGCCCAGACGCAAGAGGTTCATCTTGGAGGGTCTTCAGCATCGCACAAAAGGGGAGAAGGGCCATAAAAGACTAACTGAGCCACTCTTTGTGAAGGAAGAGCCATGGGGAGCCTGCAAGAGGCCCTGGGCTGCTCCACGTCGCTCAACCCCAACTCCTGCGGAGCTGCAGTTGACACATGGAGGACACCTCCAGGCACCGCTGCCCCATGCTACCTTCTGGCCACCCTACGCCTTGGGAAAGGAGTGTAAGGACACCTCCCAACAGTCATAACTTTAAGTGGTATGAGACAGGACTTAAAAAAAAGTCCTTGTCTACATGTTGCCCTTATCCGTTTCCTTATGTGGCATCCCATTTTCCAAATCCTCTGCAACATGAGATGAGATCTGCTCCCTTAAAGCCTGAATTTTCTCCATCTTTGTGGAGTGGGGTGGGGGCAGGCAGAACCACAGCAGTTCCCGTCCCAGAAACAACAAATTCAGCAGCAGCAACTTTCCTGCCCTCTCTGTGGGACTTATTATCAACTGTGAGTCAACACAGGCAGCTGGCATCTAAAAATGGAAACAAATAAACCAGGAATATTAACAAAGCCCAGGAACAATGGTGGTGTGGTTCCTGCCCTGCTTCTGCACAGCTTCCAGCGGCTTTGTGCCGGGATGCTGGGAAAAAAAAGGGAGCAGCATTTCTCTGAACATTAGCTTATAGCATCTTCTGTGTATGTCCACTCTGGAGCTGTGCTTTGACTTAGAAAAAGGGCTGCCTGCATCTTCTGTTGCCCTGTTCTAAAGTCTAGCCTGAAAGACTGCCCAGAAGAGGTCTGTGTAGCAAACAGAGCCTGGGGTTTGGCAGTTCAGCTTCGAGCCGGGCTTACCAGCAGTATCTGGAAAATGTTTATCAGACAGCAAATTGTAATCTTCTTCTGAAGTCAGTACTTTGCCTCCTGCAGGAAGAACATGGTATTTAGGGCTGGCTCCTTTCTGGTAGGCCTGGAAAATCAAGAGAGAGGGAGTCAAACAGCGATTTAAGGAGAGGGAAAACATAAAGCACACAACTCATTTACAAAGCTAATGCATGGGGATATTCCCCAAAAGGAATTTTTTTTTTGTCAGGCTGAATTTTGGATATATTCCCTGGAAACGTCAAATCTAAAACATGGTTAAATGTAAAAAACATATTTAAAGATATTGTCTCAGTGCTTACGAGCTGTGATGAACAGTCAGGGACAGGAGGGAGGGGAAAGGATGGGATTTTCTTCTAAGCCCTATTTGTTTAATTTGTCAGCCAGGACTAGTTTGACTACGGCAGCTGCCAAATTAAAAGCTTCACTGTAGTCAACTTGAAGCCACCCAAGAATTGCTACTTAAAACCCAACTGCAGAAGCACGGGGATGTATTACAACGACATACAGGTAAGAAGCATTCTGTGATATGCAAAGGAAGGTTCAAAGCGCTGTTAAAATGATTTGCTAATTCTTGCAAACGTGTATGGCCAATGCAAGGCACTTGGTTGTACCCATGGAGCTTCCAGCCATCTCCGCAAGGCTGCAGCTGCCTTGCCGAGAACAACATTTCATCTAGTGTTGCCAAAAGAAAGGCGGCAGCAGTGGCCAATTCACTTGATATCAGTTTCTTTGGGACCGTAGAAGAACGTAAGAAGAAGCAGCATTTACCTCTTTAGTCTCAAAGCAATCCACAGTGTAGTCGTTTTTGATAACGACGTATCTGTCCTTCCACTTCTTCAGATCGTCAGCAAAATGTAGCAGCTCTGCCTCATATAAGACCGCCCCAGCTTCTGCCGGGGGCTAAAAAGACAATTTTCTAGATTTGAAATTACTCTGGATTACTGACCATTTTGAAGCTTTTATTTCTACGTTTCCATAAGACTGCTATGAGGGCTTTTGAGTCTTCAAATGCAATTTGGAGTCACAAACACCTCTCTGATTCGGGCAGATACTACATAATCAAATTCTTGTAGCCTGAGGTGAAGAGGCAGAGAGGAGCTCTGCCTTCCAAAAATACTTCCAGATTTCTGAGACATTCTTATTTACCTTTTGGTTGGCATGCTGAATGCAAGATGACTTGTAGTTCATTATCTCCCATTTCCCACTACATAACATCAATGAAAACACTTCATTGGTGCAGCAGAGTTTTATTATAAAATAGTAAATTATTTCCCATTTCTTTGTAACACTTTTGCACCTGTGCTCTTGTAACTGATGCATCTTTCTGAAAGACAAAGCTCTTCTATTATCCCACCTTTTACATCCTACCTCATTGCTTTACCCTATTCATTTCAAGAGCATTGGAAACCCATGATTTCCAATACGGCCGAAAAATTTAGATTTGTATCTTCTTAATATTGAAGGCTGGTTGTCTGCATTTTCCTCTTAATAAAGAGACTTTTGTCTCTTTTTTATCTCTCCTTCTCTAATAAAAACCAGCTCTCCATAGCTCACTTCACAGGGGGGATTATTGCCATCTTCTTTATGGAACCCGGTAGCCATGGCTGAAAGGGTTAATTATGTTTCCTACATAAATTTCTGCCCTGAATGTATGATCTCTGACCCAAGATTCTTGCAAAACCTTGCAATCAGC